AAAAAGATTGGATAACAGACCAGGAACTTGCCTCCCAGCTCAAAGGATGTCACCAACGAGATGAGAACTTACAATCTATTGTCAACTGCATCCCARGAGGCTGAAAGGAGTTGTTAAGCGAAGTCTCAACTTGGAAATCGGGTGAATGGGGAGCGAGGGTGGAGGATTTAATCCCCACAAGGGCCTATCAATTCTCCCATAAACAGCAAGGGTCGGATACTCTGGCAGTGTTTACCTCCTTCCCAATTACCCCCTCCACGCAAGGCCTTTCATCTATCATGAATAAGGAGGTGGAAAGAACAGTCCTAAACCTTTTGGTACTAGGAAAAGTCAGAGTGACGGGTTCATGGCCAAAAACAATCTTCAGAATAGATACGGCGATTCAAGACTTGGAATTTGATCCAGCAGAGTGGGCTTGGACACCAGACCGAAGAAGAAGCCTCAACACTGAAGTCTCCATTCAGGAATACAAAGTAAAGTTGGGATACAACTTACTCCTCAAAACGAAGGATCCTGAACCAACGATCAAGAACAGATGGCAGAAGCTAATAGGTCAAGATGCTTGTCGGATCCCACAATACCATGGAAAAAATTCAAGTCAATTCGCCCGGTTAAAATCAGAAGGCTACAGCTTTTCGCGACAGCACTGCCCGGTGAGCGCTACGCACGCAAATTTGCGGGCCAGCGTCGCCGGCCTTTTTCGAGTTTTCAAATTTTTTGCCGCGCGCGCGAGAGTGCGCCTCTCACACCATTTTGCGAATTCGAGCGGGAAATAGCAAAGCAGGGAGAGCCCGAAGTCGTCACGTCTCGCCACGCCTTCGGGCGTGGCATCCTCATCATTACCACGTGCCATACCGAAAAAGGGAGGGGAAGAGAGGCGAGCGGGGAAAGAGGACGAAGGCACCAAGATTCAGCAAAGAAGAGGTGGTCGACTGTTAGGAAAGAGAAAAGACAAATGAGTAAAAGGAGAAAGGAGAGGGAAAGAGAAGGGAGATTTCTAATAATGGGAAGAGACACGACTCGAAGGGACAAACAAGGGCAGAAACAAGAGGGAAAGTGAGGAGGGAGAAAAGCAAGGACGAATGCTATAAGAATAGAAAAGAAGAGGAGAGCTGACAAAAGGAGAGCGGAAGGAAAACAAGCAGCGCTCGGGGAACGCTAACGCCTCGCGCGAAGTTTCGGGCCAGCACCGTAGGCAGGTCTCGAACACTCGATTTCACAACGAGCAAGTAGGCGAGCACCTTCCCTTTTTCCCCGGCCAAAACCGCGCGGGAGAGAGTAAGGCGGGAAAAGGGGATACGGACAAGTCTTTGCACACCTCCGTGCGTGGCACCCTCAAATAGATCTTGAGGAAAACACGCACGTAGAAAAATAGGAGAGAGAGAGAAGTAATCAGAGTCACCAAGAGTCGGGAGGAGGAAGAGAGATTTTCCTAGGACCCGGAAAAGACACAAAGTCGACAGAAGGGGAAAGAAGAAGGAGAGAGAAGAGACAAAACGCTCGAGAGAGAAAAGAGTCAAGCATCAAGGGGCCCAGTAAGGCGATCATCACAAGCATCCGAGAGGAGTAGCGCAGCAATCATCACGACAGAAAAGGTCAGGACAGGACATTTCGGCAACCAAGGTAGGATCAAAAGCATCCCTCCGCAAAAGCCAAGCGAGACCTGCCAAAGGCGACAAGCAACGTCAGGAACGGGCACAAGAAAGAAGAATAGGGGAGACATCACCGCTGAGATAAAGTCATCTTCTCCCAATCTTCCTCTCCGCTCCTTTAAGCAACATCCGGTAGGTCAGGGCATAGGATCACGAGTCATCCTGCCACCAGCAGTCTGAGGCGCCAGATTCTACAAACACACGGAGACAGGCACTAGATTACAAACTGAGTAGAAGACACGGTACACAGCAAAACCCCAACCTTTTCTCGGAAAAGGAGCCTTCCTAACTGAGTCACAACAGGAGGAGAAAAGCACCCGTACGAGTAATAGGAAGTGATGCACCAGACTCCAGCCCAACCTCGAATCAATCCTCCACCCCGGATCCATCCAAATCCAGACGCGGTCCCACCCCAAGCGCTACCCCCCCCGCACCCTCCCAATCCGGATCTGATCCTCACCCCGATCTCTCCCCTATCACAATCGTTGTTCCAACCCAACCCGATATTCCATCCCCAAGTTTCCCCCACCCCACTCTCGACTGAGACGCGTTCCCACCCCGGTTCTATATCAATCCCGATCCGTCTCCACCCTGACCCCACCCCAACCTCGACCAACTATTCACCCCCGATCCATCCTAATCCCGACTCGGTCCCGCCTCGGCCCCCCCCCCTGGTTCCATCCTAATCCAGCTTAGATCACCGCACCGGGACCGTTCCCATCACAAACTATAGTCCTACCTCAGGACGCCCTTCACAATCGACCCTACCCTGATCGGATTTACCACCTTGCGCCGATCCCCACCCCCCCCGATCCTTTTCTGCCTCGTCCCACCCCAATTCCGGCTTGATCCCACCTTTGTTTCCACCCTGATCTCAGCTCGTTCCCTCCCCAGTTCCACCCCGCGTTCTTCCTATTTCCACTAAGATCCCCATCCCGATCCCATCCCGATCCCTCCGTTACAACTATCTATACAAGCATCATCCCTTGTTACATAACCCTAAACAACCAATTAATATTTAAGAATTACTAACATTAATCATTAACTAATAATACCAATATTAATTATCATTCAACGATTTATTAAGATTAAAATCTGTTTTGTTTTGTTTGTTTGTTTTTTCGTTTTTTTTTTTTTTTTTTTTTTTTTTTTTTTTTTTTTTAATATGAATTTCGGGCGTCCAGCATCACTCAGTGGCTCAACTGCAGGCCTACCCAAAAACAGCAATGCTACACCCAGACTGCTCTCAGCCCCCTAAGATCCCACCAAGCTAGACTCCAAACTAGTGCTTGACGGGAGCCTAGGGGTTCTCAATACCGTAGAAGGGGGTAGCAAGTCTAAGCTATGAAATTAGTATCAATCCCAGCCCCCCAACAGAAACTATCAGTTACTGGTTCTGAACGAGACGCTGGCCACACCAACGCGAACAGCCTGCACATCAGAGCCCTGCACAACAGATAATCAAAGGGTAAGAAAGACAGACCATACAGCCCACAAAAAAAAACAAAGATCAAGCTGTGGGGACCACCAAGAAAGAAAGGCAAGGGAAATAACCAAGGGAAGAAGGGGATGGCAAGAAAAGGAATGGGAATGGAAACCCAGAATTGGCTTGCAGAGAAGACAAAAGTGAAGATGACAAAAAGGACAGAGCTAGTCGACATTGGAAACGGAGCGAAGGAGGAAGTGGTGATATGGGAATATCCAAGGGAATCGCTGCCGTCCCTGGACGAATTCTATTCTAAACATGCAGTCCTCTTCACCTTCTCCAAAAAAAGCCAGGAACTCAACAGGGCGGAAAAGTTGAAATGGCTGTGGGAAAAACTCAAGAGCATAGAACCGATCCCGGGAACGGAACCAAAGGTAACATTTCACAGTAGAGGAAGGAACACAATAATGGTTGTCTGCAAAGAAGAAAAACAGGCAGAGTTCCTTAAGAACAAATCCTTAACCTGCAATCCGTCAGTGGTCACGGTCTACCCTTGGGCCCCAGCCAAAACAACACAGACTTCCCCCTCCAGGTACCGACAGCAGTTGATGCAAAAGTACTTTTGGATTCAGTTCGATGGAATACGGGAAGGGCTGCATGGGGCAATCAAGGCAAGATTGCAGGAGGAGTACGGCCAATTCCTGATCGTGGATTGGATCACACCCACTCCGGACTTCCTAGTACGGCCAATTCCCGATCGTGGATTGGATCACACCCACTCCGGACTTCCTAGTACTGCAGCATGATACCATGATGGCATGCCTAAACACCCAGGGTGCAGTCTCACCGCAATTACCAGAAATCTGGCACTTTGCAGTCAGAGACCAAATAGTGAAGGTCGTAGTCTCCACCAAAAGCAACCCGTTGTGCTTCAAATGCAGACAGAGAGGGCACATGGGAACAGACCCAAGGTGCCCAAGGAAAGCAGACTCAGCAAGAAACAGACCGTTGAGACCAACCAGCCTCGAGGAGGTCGAGGGAGAACCTGACTTCTGGTTTGTCAGGGATGCTAAGTACATAGGATGGGTCTTTAATGACAACCTAGAGACCCCGGACTGGGTATGGGTCATGGAAGGGGAGCCAACCCAAAGACCAGACATCTACCCCCCATCTGACAACAGTTGGCAGACCAAGAAAGTCGGCAAGAAATCCACCAAGATTTTCACAACGGACCAGATATTAAACAAAAAAAGAGTGCAAGAGGAGAGGAGGTTAAGAGACCTCCAAATGAACCTGGACGAAACAGGGGAGCTGACAAAAAGGAACTGGTTGGAAGTGGTAAAAGAAGGGAAGAGGAACGGAACGCAGTTGGGTACAACAGCGAACAACACATCAGACAACACGGTGGTACAATACACACGCAAAGGGAACTCAAGAGCGGGCCAAGAAAAGGACGCCAATGCAGAGAACGGGGAGCCACAAGGGCAGGATGTGGAAATGTTCGAGGACAGAAGAAGTGGGACAAAGAGGAAAAGGGGGGAAATCACCAAAGAAGAACCCATCAGAAGAAAAGACGGAGAAGACTACTATTGCGGGCAGGAAGAAGAGGAATGGGAAAACAGACCCATAGAGGAAATCAGGGAATACATTCAAACAATGAAGGCACAGAGGGCAAGTATGTTTGAATTGCATATGACCTACGTGAGAGAGGAAGTGAACGCAAGGGTGGAGGAGATCCCACTCACACCAAACCCATATGAGCCGCTCAATGAAGAAGAGGAAATTACAGAATATTATGCCCAACAATACTGCCGAATTAAGAGAGACCGGGCAAGGATACAAAAGAGAGGAGGGAGGAGTGAAGGACAAGGAGGAAAAGGACAACAGAGGGAGGACAGATACAGGATGCCCGAACTGCCAGAGACCTACAACAAAAAGGGGGAGGAGGAGAAGAAGAAGGGAAATCAGAGGAGAGAGAAGGCGAAGGAAACCAGGGATCAAAGGGGGAACATCAAGGGGCAAAGGGAAGAGGGAAGGAAAGAGAACAACCCAGGAGAACAGCAAAGGACAGGAAGAGCAGAACAATGAAAAGGATACGTTGTTGCTGCAGTCTGCAGTGTCGGAAGCACATATCCAAAGGTTGTCGGACCTGAATGAGGAAATGAGATTGACAACAGTCACAGTGGGCTCCTTAAACGGCTGTACGCAGGCGGAGTTTCGGAACAAGACCGTAACAACAAGTAAGATGCTGTTACCCTCAAGAACGATTGTGGCCATGATGTTTGATGTGCTGACGGAGGACTGGCAGATCACAATAGCAACTAATTTTGCTCTCCCCAGATTGGAAAAGGGCCAAAGTATACAGGAGAGGCTTACATCTACGGTCTAAGAAAAAGAACCAGTCAAAGTCGGGGTGTTGGGGGAAACACTGAGGGTACCCACCATGAATGGAAGGGGGACTGAAAGCAAGGAGGAAACCTTGGATGTAAGACCAGTGGTAGCCATATACAGCCCAGGGTCTTCCTTAAAAAGCAACCTGCAATGGCGTCCTTGGTGGCAAATCTCACAGCTACCATACACAACCCTTGGCACAAGTGTATTGCCGGAATTACCAGCGGCAAGCCTGGCAATCGCCTTTGCCCAAAAAATTCACAGGATGGGACAAAGGGAGCTGGGAGACAGGCTGCAGGATCTGCAGGAGGTGGGAGAGGGGGCAACCTTGCGAATGATGTCCGCACCATCCCCTTGAATTAAGCCAGATCAGTTGAACCGGTTAGGCTGGAACATTGAACCATGGACGGGGGGCGTGAGCAAAATGAGGGGGGGGAGAAGGAACACCACAGAGCGAAGAAAAGAGCGGAACTAGATATAAGATCATGGAACGTACATGGGCTGGCCACCCTTTTGTCAACCTCGACAAAATGGTTCAGTTTAACAGCTAACCTCAAATGGTTTGACAATAACCCACCAGACATAGTCTGCATACAAGAAACACATCTAACCAGCTCTGATGAACATAAATCCATACAGGAGGAAATAGAGAGAAGACTGAGGTACGAATGGAGAGCAAAATGGGTAAGTAGCCCCGGCCCAGCATCGGCGGGAGTGCTAATTCTTTTCCACGGAAAATCTGAAGCATTACAGCACTTACAAATAAACCAAGTAACCAAGGATACTGAGGGAGGCAGGTGGATTAGGATAGATTTCAGCTACAGACAGGAAGAAATAACACTACTAAACATATACGCCCCAAACACTAACGCCCAAAGAAAGGAAGCAATAGCGGTCATCAAACAAGAATGCCCAAACCACCGGCATACCATAGCAGTGGGAGACTGGAATGCTACAGTAGACCCACTCCTTGACATAATATCTCATGCCAGGGAGGGGTATGATGAAGCGGAAGCCCATATAATGCTAGACTTTATCACGGAGAAGGAACTAATAGACCCGTTTACGACAAGATACCCAGAAGCCAAGAGATTCACGTGCACTAGGAGGACACAGCAGGGGAGAACATCCTTATCTAAGATAAACTACTTCTTGATATCTGAATCACTATCAGGGACTGTACTTGCTTCGACAATCTTTAGAGCCCCCTTCTACGAGGGCTTTGACCACAAGCAAATATGACTCATATTGAACTTTGGCCTAGATAATGTTGCAGGCCAAGGATTCTACAAAGTCAACAACTCCTTACTAAAGCTAGAGAGTTTCAGAAGGGTGGTTAGACAAACATGGGAAGATTACATTCAACGAATGCAAGGGAGGACACAGTCCCAAATTTCGGAAAAGCCCTACAGCGCGTAAGCAAGGAATTAAGCAAGGAATCAAGAAACGAAGACAGAAGAAGAAGGGAAAGACGAGAGCTCCTAGAGTCCATCGTAGAAACAACAGAATATAACCTAATCCGCAATCCAGACTCTCCAATGTACGAAAACTTACTCTCTTCGGCAAAGGAAGAACTGGCCCAATGGGCAGACTGGAAGAGAAGGGGCCTGAGCATCAGAGCAAGGATAAAAGACTGGGAGAGTAACGAATCAATGACAAAATTCTTTTTCCAAAGAATCAAATCCAGCTGGAGAAACAACAGGATCCTAGAACTGAGGGATGAAGGGGGAACTCTAAAAAACCAACAGAAAGGTCTCCTACAAATAGCCACTAACTTCTACAAAAAATTATATACATCACAGTCAACGGGAGAAAATAGTGGAGCTATCAGGAGGGCGAGGGAAAAGTTCCTTAGACACCTTGACACCTGCATCAAACTAGAAGCAGCAACATACTTAGACAAAGACCTCTCCCTAGCAGAAGTGCATGGAACACTCGACTCCATGCAACCAAACAACGTCCCAGGCATCGACGGGCTAACGAAAGAATTTCGGCAGGAGCACTGGCCTTTGCTAGCGAGGGATCTCCTACGATTTTACCAAGAAGCATATAAGAGAGGGACATTAGGAGAAGACATTAGCACGGGAGTTGTAACACTACTATACAAGAAAGGGGAAAGGGAAGACATTAGGAATTATAGGCGAATATCCTTACTAACAATAACCTGTAAAATAATAGCAAAGGTCCTAGCCAAAAGAATAAGAAATGTAATTGATAAATGTTTCCATTTAGATCAACATAGGATTCATCCCAGGAAGATTCATCCTGGACAACGTAATCGGTGTGAATGAAACAACCAAGTTAATAAGAGATAAGAAGTTACAAGCTGCCATCCTCTTCTTTGACTTTGAAAAAGCCTACGATCAAGTCAACTGAGACTTCCTTCAGCAGTGCATGGAGAAAATGGGAGTGAGGACAATTTTTAGGAGTTGGGTGAGAGTCGTGTATGCGGACGCAAGGGGGAGAGTCCAAGTCAACGGCCACCTATCAGATTCGTACAGAATGACGAGATCGGTAAGGCAAGGAGATCCACTAGCTGCTCCAATATTTCTCTTTGTCATGGAAGCAATAGCCACTTTCTTGCGAAAGGACCCCTCCATAGAAAGATTACAGACCCTTGATGACGGAC